TCATCCCACCCACCCCCACACCTTGCAACACTGCATTGAAAACTACTTCTGGAGGGTTTCTCAGCACTTAGGAAACACTTCCCAGCACTTCAAAATATTGAAATAATATTCTCCATGCTCATTAGGGAATTTTGCTGTATAAGCACAGAAAAAAAATGTGGTGAGGGTTAATGTGACTTTGAATTGGAGTCAAGTACTGTTTAAATGTGTTGGCATCCTCTTGCTGATTTGACACATACATTAGTTCTTTTCATTCTGGCCTAAATAGAACAAATAAATTTTTTAACATGTAAATGTTATGTAACACAGGACAGTAACTGATTCCAATTTTGTGTTTTTTTTCTCCCAGTTCTTAGGCAACAAAAGAAATAAAGAAAAACTGCAACACAGTGGCCACATTTATATCTTTAAATTAGAAGCACATGTAAGTGACTTTCTTTAATTCCTCTTCACTTTCTGCCATCAGAGTGGTATCATCTGCATATCGGAGGTTGTTGATATTTCTTCCAGCAATCTTAATTCCAGTTTGGGATTCATACAGTCCAGCCTTTCATGTGATATATTCTGCATATAAGTTAAATAAGCCGGAGGACAATATACAGCCTTGTCATACTCCTTTCCCAATTTTGAACCAATCAGTTGTTCCATATCCACATCTAACTGTTGCTTCCTGTCCCACGTATAGATTTCTCAGGAGATAGATAAGGTGGTCAGGCACTTCCATTTCTTTAAGAACTTGCCAGAGTTTGCTGTGGTTCACATAGTCAAAGCTTTTGCGTAGTCAATGAAGCAGAAGTAGATATTTTTCTGGAACTCTCTGGCTTTCTCCATAATCCAGCGCATGTTAGCAATTTGGTCTCTAGTTCCTCTGCCCCTTCGAAATCTAGCTTGTACTTCTGGGAGTTCTCGGTCCACATACTGCTGAAATGACACTGTTAGGACTTGCAAAAGTGCTGCTAGAGTAGGTGTGGGGAGAGAGTTTTCCCTATCTCTGCATACATGTTGTGCAGCCATTTACATTTATTTACTCTATGGCTTTTAAAGATTAGCCCAAACTACTCTTTAAGCCCAAGCCCAGGCCTTCCACACAAGCCTATGAGAAACATCTAGTATTGTCCAGAACAGATTGTAGCTCTTTGACCATAAGCAAATGATCTCAGCTAGAAGTTGGAGGTGACATCTAGTGGTGTTATCTCATTATCTCTTTTGGGTCCCTCTTGTAGCAGCTTAAGTGTTGGTGTAGCTCCATGGGTTGAAGCTCCTGTCTACAAAGCCAGGAGACAGGAGTCAAACTCACAGCTATGCCAGCTGTAGTGGGGTTGGGACAGCCAGAGGCTTCTTATGCCACCACAAATGCCCTTGTGGTAGCACAATCCTCTTGTGCTGCCCTGAGCCATTTGTATCTGAGTTGATGCTAATATTTTAGAATATTAACTTCAGTACACTAATTAGTACTATATGATTCTAGTGCAAAGCAAAGCAGAAGTAACCTGCCCACCCAGATCTGCGTGGTCCTGCTTAAGTGTGAAGGAAAAACACTGAGGAGAACCAGTTTAGGTGGAGGCCAACATCACAACATAACAAACTGCAATCATCTCCCCAAACACACTGATACACACACACACACACACACACACAGAGAGAGAGAGAGAGAGACGCAGAAGCCTCTGCATTAATCGCAGAGAAAAGCAAACAAGGGAACTTGCCACGTCTTGGGCGGGGTGGGGGGGGCGCCAACCCGGACCGTTCCCGTGTGAATAAATAGCTTTGAGCATTCCTAAAGAAATAACGGCTATTTGTCTCCGTGTAATGTAACGTGCTGATTACTCCACACTGAAGCAATCAAAATGCTGTAGAACCGATGGGAGACCAGACTGAAAAAAGCGACCCAGCCACACATGCCCTCCTTCCGTCTACTGTGAGACATCCCTTGCCTTACCCGGCCCAAGGGTGGTCGCTGGACACAGTTTCCACATCCTGACTAGAAAGAGATGGGAGCCAGAAACGCCTTCTCCACCTCGCCTTCCCGGTTTCTCACCAAGCGAGCCCTCAAACGCCCACCATTAGCACGCATGCGCATTTCTCCCAGAGGCGCTTTCCGAGACCATAGACATGAAGTTTCGATGACGAGTTGCCAGGGTCCTGTCAGGGAAAACAGCGCCACCTAGGCATAGCCGGGAGGAAACCACTTATTAGAGGTACGCATGGTTAGTGCGCATGCGTGGCTTTGATGGTTCTCTACGTACTCAGGGAAAAGATTTAGTAAAAACGAGGGAGATGGAAGAAGTACTGTAAATAAGTAACTTCCGAATTCATTCCCCCCCCCCAAGGTCCTGTATGTCTTTTGCAAATCTACAACTGAGCGTTCCGTGGGCAACAACCGGCACAAAATTAAATATGATATTGTTTGGGGAGGGCGGGTGCAGACTTTTTTCTGTGCAATTGTGAAGATTCAGCACCTTCTTTTTTCAGACATTTTGAAACTAAAACCGTGTGCGTTAAGGGAGAAACTGGCGGTGGCCAAGCCATTGAAGAAACAAGATTAACACTCTGCACATGCTCAGTAATATGACTTTTCTCTACCTGTTCCAATTTTTAAAGAAAACAAAACCACCTCTTCATTTTTTTTTTAAACCCCTCGCCTTTGGCTACAAGAGCGCGCCCCGCCCGCCCCAGCGGGTCTATACCCAATGTAGGCGCGCGGCCTGTGCAAGACCCGGGAAAGGGCGTGTCTCAGAGCCCCAGCGGGCCTTTCGGCCACGCCCCTCCCGCCTTTCGGCCACGCCCCTCCCGCCTTTCGGCCACGCCCCTCCCGGGGCTCTGAGAAAAACCAGCTGGAGGAGGAGGCGGGGCCCCTCGGCAGCCCCCTCGCTCTTGCCCTTCGGACTCCGGAGAGGGAAGCCATGACGCCGTCGGTCTTGTTCGTGAAGGGGGGTTTGGGGGCTAGGCTCGGCCCCCGCCT